ATGCATTTTTTTTGCAAACAGTTTTATTTTTTCAGAATTCTCTGATGAATAGAAAGCAAGTATTCAAAAATTTAAAAATATATTTTGTAACAATATACACTACCGTACTAATTTTCTTTAAAGATAATAATAGTTTTATTCAGCAAAGATAAGTTAAATTGATAAAAAGTGATAGTAAAAGAACTTACATGTTGTTACAAAATATTTTTTTGAATAAATGCTGCTGTTCTTTTTTAACTTTATATTCATCAAAGAATCCTGAAAAAAGTACATATAGCTAACCAGTTCGCATATCAGAATATGTCAGAGTAGCTTTGAATTATTTGCATATTTTGATTTTTGGCAAATGTGCTTTAGAAGCATCTGGTAGTGTGTTTAAGGCTCGTCTCAGAGATGAAGATTGATATCGTCTATGCTTTCCCATCTGTGCCTGATAGTGTTAGCTTGACTAAAGTGTAGGAATGAACGTACGGTTGCCTACAGCTGACTAATTAGGCGTGATGTAGCAGACATGTAATCGGATATCATATGAAACCTTCCTCCTGCATGTGAATACTGTACTCGAGTCATATTTGCTGTGATAATATGATGCTCTTTAAGAGCGTCTGATGACAAGCAGACCCATCTGTTCTTGCTGTTATAATTCTTTAATGCACCATGATGATTTGAGCCTTGCAGAAGCAGGATGCCGATATGGAGGCGGATCGTGGATCTGATATGGGAAATTAATGGATATGGAAATAATAAATGATGAGGATAAATTACGCCATGTTCTCTCATCCGGCTTCTCAAGCAAAACACGGGCCAGGGGTCAAAGACAATAATTATGGAAACCTGACACCATTTTTATGGTGGTCTTGCTCCCAAAACACATGAAGGGATGGGATTGTGAAAACAGGTGTACAGATCTGGAGTTAGGTCACCATCTGTTTAAAGCAAGCATATAGCATGCAGGAATTGATGCTGATCTCATTATACATGTGATCATTTGTTGTGTAATGTAAGTTTGTCGGATCATTTTGCTCCAAAAGACCTCAATATATTGCCATTGGCGTGCACTGATGTGAATAATTATCATCCTGTTTCTATTATTTGTTCTATTACAGAACAGATTTTTTAGAAACTTATTTTAATCAATTATAATAGAATGTTTAATGAGTTAATATACATTCTATTGGTTTAAATGAAAATGCCCTTCTTTGGTTTAATGCTTATCTTCATAACAGGCATCAGTATGTTGTTTTCCTGTGTTTTCAGTCTAATTATGTAATTGCTGAAAAAGGTGTTCCTCAAGGTTCTACCCAGGGACCAGTACTTTTTTCTATTTTTATTAACGGATGACCTCAAATATGCCTGAATTCTTCTGTACATTTTTATGCCGATGACACCGTTTTTTTACACCACTAATTCTGATTTTTTTTCAATTTCAGAATTCTTT